GAATACTCGGTCCATTCCTGAACACCACACTTCCAGAAGGATGTGGCCTAATTGGAGAGTCCTGGGGACAGCAGTGAGAATGATCTTAGTTTTGAGAAAACCTTAACTATGAAGAAAGACTGAAGGCGCTGAACTTGTTTAGCCTAAAGCAGGCTGACTGTAAGGAGGCATGACAACAGCTTTTACGTATTTAAAAAGCTTTTTGCAAGAAGGGGAATAATCTGTTCATGTTCTTGCTGAACAGGACCAAAAGTAATGAATTTAAATTGCAGAAAGACATACTAACAGTTGGAAAAACTTTCTAACAGTAAATTTTCTAACTTTCTAACTAAAGTACCAAGATCACCTGAGAAGGTCAACAAATCCACATTGCTAGAGGTCTTTAAGTGCAAACCCAGAAGTGATACATTTGAGTCTTTCCTGTGGCAGGGGGAAGGATGGACTCTGAAGGTCCTATTTTTCCAATGATTTTCTATCACTTTAAACTATTTTCTCAGAGCTCTTAAGTTCACTTTCTGCTGCTTATGTGCATTATTGATACATACCCGTTGGAAAATTTTGCGTTCTGTGCTCATTATGACTGACAGGACTGATAAGTGCTGTGAAACATTAGCATTGCAGCTGATGGCACAGATCAAGAATAGGAAAGAAACAAGCTGAAAGGATCCAGGGACAGTGACAAGGCTGGAGGCAATAGCAAAGACATATAGCTTAGCTGGGAACAAATCTTTGATTCTCAACTTTAAAAAATTTTATTCTGGAAAGTAAAATGAAGCATGAGGGCAGCTGCAATAAAATGGAAGCCAAAATGAATCCTGCTTCTGTTTGGTCAAAAAGGACAGATGCCACTGAAGGAGTGAGGTAGCTGGCAGCCTTCCCTTTGAAGAAGAGCACGTCATCTCTGGAGCATAAAGAGGAATGTGAGACTTATAAGCATCCTCTGATTTGGGGTTTCTTTACAAAAGTTTAACATATCCCCAACTGGGAGCTGGGAAGTTGCTTGCATATCTGAATGCCATTGTGGTAATGAAATACACTGCTGCCAAGCCGTGTGGCAGGCTGCTTTTGTCCATTAGTAAACAAACTTATGTGATGACTTCCAGTAACTCCCATTCAGACAGGAGATTTTAAAGCTTGAAGTCAACAGATGAAATTCTTGCTAAAGAAGGAGAGTGAGGGGAAAGCAGAGCGTTCTTTCTGGGTTGGAATGAGGGGTTAAGGCACTATCAGTCTTTCCTGTGAAGAAAAGAAGGATGAAATGCAACTCACTGCTTCTCATCACAGTTAGTTACAACTTCTAAGCCAGCAGGTGTCTAGAGGGAGTCACGAGCCTAGCCCCTTACTGCCTGCTACCTGGGTTTCTAATGAAGAAAATCAGTTATATTGAACTTTGAAACTTTTCTTCTAGCTCCTATGCACATTTTTATGCTATTTCCACTGAGATAATGATGGACCCAGCACTCCATTCTAAAATCTCCTGGGAGCTGGCACTCACAAGTGTTAGTGTGCCTGTGGAGGACCAGCTGCAAATATCTGCATGTGTGATTCTATAACAGCAAGAAAAAAGCAAAATCTATTAGAAATGGTTAAAAAATAGCTAGTCATAGCAATTATCAAAAAGTAATAAGCATGGGCTCAAGTGTGCAAAAGCATCTATGCGAAAGACGGCTAAGCAGACACTGAGAGGATGGAGTTCCTCTAGTGCCTAATGCCTTCAAGGAAACAATGTGGCTTGGGAAAGCTAAAAGGGGACACAAGCCTTTGAAGTGACAATGAGTTGCAGGCAAGTATTATGTGCACAATTAAATGCCTCTAGTTCATCAAATCCTTTTTAAAAAAAAAATCATGAGTAAAATCTTATGCCTCTATGTGGTGCTGTCACATTGTCACATTGTATATTTTACAGACTTATGTAAACACAAGTCATTTCTTAGTCTAAAGCCTTATCTTAAAGATCTAAACTGCAGTATTATAATATTGACTGCATTTTGGCTGGTCTGATTAACTGATTAAGCAGTTAAGGAATAACTTGCATTAATTTACTATTATTCTTCCAGTTATAATTTTTGTTTAGCAACTCATGCTAGGCACTGCGTAGATGGAAGAGACAAATTGCCTGGATGAGTTTACATTCTCAAAATCAAAGTCTGAGATTTCATTACAAGCTGTGATCTAGTAGCTGGATGGTTTGTTTATAAGAAGCCTATAAAATGCACTTGAACAAGCATGTCAGGTCAACAGAGGGAAATCTAAATTTTTATTCTGTACCACAGATAAAATGACTTGATAATCTTAGTCCAGCTCCTAATAGACAAAACTTGGAATCACAAAAATCTCCATCATTATAACTTACATTCCTTGGCAGCTACATTGAAAAATCAAAACCAAAATGAGCTCTGCTGTGTAAACTATATAACCCTTTTCTTCACAACTGAAGAAAAATTGAAGAAAAAAACCCTTTTCTCTTCATGTCAAGGTTGATGTAGTTTCCTGGATGATGTATTTTCCTAGTGCCATAGTGAGAAGATCCTCATTCATACTTCTTCTTCTTCATATTGAACAGGACACACTTAAGTGTTCGGCATATTTTGCAGAGTAGTACCTTTCCCATGCAGGAGAAAGGACTGCCTTCATTTTTTTTTTTTAGCATGTATAATTACATGAAAGGAAAAAATATTCCTTGAATGCTGAGATGAAAGTGGAAGAGAAATAGATGTCAGTGCAGTAACCCTTAAGCAAACACTTAGGAAAGAAAAAGATAAAAGGAGATGTTTGGGGCACAGGAGAAGTAGTATAAGAAAAAAAAGAATTTGTTAATTAAAACATAAATGAAACTATTTTAAGTAAAAGAATGAGACTTTTTTGCAAAAACAGTAATTGAAATTACAAAAAAATCCAAGCAGCTCTTGCAATACAACTTATCTTGCACTTTTGAGGTGCCTTCCCATATGTCAGCAGCAAAAAGTTCTATAAATGGGAATGACTAAGTCTCAGAGCCCCTGTGAAGTACGATAAGGAAATACTATTATTCCCGCTTAACAGAAGGGGTAACAGACATAAAGAAAGTAGGTGAAGCTATGCACTCAATTAGTAGTAGCACAACCACTAAGTGTTCCCGGTTCAATAGTTCTTTTCCATGTCCACTAGACAACTCTATCTGTCAGGTGTAGTGTGCTGTGTTAAGAGAGGTGTCAGCAGCAATAGCATTGGGACAGACGTCTGCACAGTTTAGTAGATAGATTGGGAGATAACAACATCCTGGAAGAGAGAAAGGTCTATAGCAATGCACAGGGCTTAAAGGAAAAGAGACAGCTTTGAAGATGAATTCTGGGAAAAAAAAAGAAGGGTGAGGGAAATCTGATGACCTGAAAATGGGTGAGGCAATGCACAGTAGGATTTGCCAAAGGGGAGTGCAGTAAATACACCTGCGGAAGATATGGCGAGGAGTCAGCGACTGGCAGAGGATGTGGCAACAGGCCTAGCATGTGAAACTACACACTGACCAAATTCCCACCAGGGCCAGGCATGCATATTCCATTTTGTCAACGACGTCTAGCTGCTTCCCGGACAGTAGTTTCTCCAAGGCTAACACAGCTGAGATAAGGAAATAGTTTTAGTATATTTAAGGGGCCCTTAGGATACAACAGGTCGTGTCTCACCTGGATATCTAACCCGTGCATCCGACCCATGTGTCCAGCAGCCTCCCACCAGTGACTCCTGTGCATGGTGCCCGGAGCTCCCTGAGCAGGAGTGTGAGTGAGTCCTTTATTAAATCTATCCTGTTTAACACCTTACGAACTTTGAGTGTTTCTCTCCGTCAGCATCTGACTCTTTCTTGCCCACCTTTTGGTCACAGGAAAGAAGAGAGAAACTGGTAGGCAGCTGCTGACAGAGAAAGAACTAGCAGAATAAGGCAGAAGATAGAGAAAGAAGTACAAGTACTAGAGGAAAATAAGAAACAGCAAAATACCAGCAAAATCTTCATGTTAGGGAGAAGAGAGAAAGCAGAAATTATTTAAGGGATGACAAGAAGGGCTAAGAAATATGATATCTGTGAAACCATTAATGAACTGTCAGTCTGAGCGATAGCTTTAAAAAAAACTGAAATCAAGTAATTGGATAAAGAGATACCTCTACCACTACTACTAATATTATCCAAAGCACTTGAAATAAATTTTGAAAAAAATCAGCACCAATCTGTCATTGTCAAGTAACAGCACGAATTGCACAGTACTAATAGCAAGCATAGTACTAGGTTGAAAAAATGTGGATCTGGAAAAAAATTCACCATCTCGAGCACTCATTCACCACCAGTAAGGCACCTCCTTGGACCACAAGCCAAGAGGTCTGCACTGGAGTGACTCTACTGCAAAAAGTACTGGATAATGGGTGTAAGGTGAGCAGAGAGGGGAAATGGGTAGAAGGAAGAAATAAGGTGACATTGGTGAGGCACATTTAAGGGACCAGTGATTAAGGTGACTGCCACAAAAATAAAACAAAAATATCTCATTCCTAACAGTTATCACAGGAAAAGGGAAAGTTCTCAGATGTGTGTAAGTATTGAAATATTTGGGGCAAAAATGTTCTCCCAGTTGCATGCGGTACTCAGTAGCTTCCGCAAAAGCTGTGAATGTGCATTGAAGGAAACTAATCTGGCCTCAGAGATTTTAAGAAACCATAAATATCTCCTATTTTTTCACATTGAACCATCATGCTCAAAAGTGAGGGCTACCACTGTTAAGATGGATGAACTTTAAGAATAATCACACCATGTTGCAATCACAGCATTCTGAGAAATCAAGACATAACTCATTGTTTCCAGACTGGGGTCCAAGAGGTCAGCTTTTGCTGCAAAACTAGGTTTCATGTTTAGTGTTGCACATGAAGGCAAACAGACTATGGGGAGATTTAAAAGTTGAAACCAAAGAGACTGGGCAGTTAGCCACTGCTCTATGCCACATTTGTGTCTGTTTTTGCACACAGTAAAAAGTTGCACTTACGTTTCTGGCACTTTCTTCTTCAAAAGGAAACAGAAGGCAGCGACTGTAATTTCAATCAGCAAGAAACCGACACCCAGCCCAATCCAAATATCTGAAAAATCAGACCAATCAGACAAATAATCAAAAGGAAACACTAAAAGAATGAATTGAATGCCATTTCTTTCTTTTTATTGGACCTACCATTTGAAAGGAGACTGGGAGCTGGATGTTGAAGAGGCTTAGCGCTTAGGTGGCAACGATTTCCTTTCCATTCTTTTCCACATCTGTGAATAAAACAAATATTCATGAAAAAGGGAGAAGCAAGGTTCATAAATAGTGACAAGCACACAGGAAGTGCAAATTTTCTGAGCCCTTTATTGTGACCAGAAGTTCACCTAGGAGTCACAAAGAACAGGATCAAAATTTGTAGAATGAAATGCAAGTTAGAAGTACACAAAACAAGCCTAAGCGCTAAAAATGAAACAAAAGGAACTTCAATGACTAGAGCTGGCTGCCTTGTCCATCTTCCCATAATACTATTAACCCAGAGCAAGAGAAGTGTGACTCATTGCTCTGCTATCCCTTCTGTGAGAGTAAAATGAGTTTCTGAACTGAGAATCTGGGGCCCCAAAGTAGGGAAATATGTGATTAAGGAAGAGAAAGAAGTCTTTTTCCCCCATCTGTGTCTGTTTAGTTTTTCTATTTTATTGCAAAAATTATACCCCCTTTTTTACAAAACTATGTTAAAAAACAAAGCATGACATTTGAACTAAGAACCGCAACCATATCAAATTATTCCAAATTTTCTGTTTGCTTCACTTCAAGTGCTTAGTACTTTTAGATTTGGTAATGGAAACAATAGAAAATGTTCTCAGTTTCTCATTATAGACAAATAGACATAAAACAAAATAGAGTATATCAGCATAGTACTAGTATGTCTACTACATAGACCTAGGAACACATATATATGTACAAAAGTGGTTCTGTAATCCATATTTTCAAGATCAGCTAGTATTCAAGTAAATAAAATGTTGGTTTCTTTTACAAACTGTTGACTCCTTCCCTTTCCTATTATTTTGTTTTGCTTTTTTATTTTGGTCTTACCAAAGGTATACAGTGAAATGAGTACTGACAGGCTCTGGAGTTTTGTTTGGTGCAGCCAAACACCCTAAATCTGAAGGGTTATGTAGCTATTTGAAAGAGGTTAATACTAGATGTTATGCCAGTTACAGCTGCTAGTAAAATAAATTATCCTGTAAGTCTGCCCAATTTAGTAGTCCACTATAGAACAGTATAGCCTGCTTTTTCAGTATTGCCAGCTCACAGTTTCATCATGTATTTGTGGCCTCTACTGGATACAATCGCAAGACGAGGGACCAAGCACTTGTTGGAGGAAATACCTCTCTCTCATCAGCTACTTTACCTGCTTGACTTATGGGACATAGCATCACTTGGAGCAGCACAAAAAATAGGCAGATGAAAATAGAATTAATCACCTAAAGGCTGGGGAAACACGGGAAGCACTATACCGTCAGGCACTGTTTTATGCAAATTCACTCTAACTGATATAATTTTGATTAACCACTAGGCATTCTTGGTCATCAAGAGCCTTTTTCACTATCTTTAATACAGAGCTGCAAGCGTTAGAAGTGTGTTATCTGAGGGATTACAGAGTTAACAATTACTGCAATATACACAAAAGAAAATGTTTAAATGCTGCTCGATCATGGAGCACTGACTATTTGTGTACTAAACTTAGCAAAACTTCCATGAAAAAGTAAGAGGTGAACAAGCATTTGTGAATTAACATCATAATACATATGAACAAGAAGGATAAATAAGTCTGAGACATTTCTTTAGTTGACAGAATGCTTGACTTTGGAAGTATGACACTCTCTAACCTTACTTCTGGGATGCAATAATTCTATGTATATCTGAGTTCTGTGCATGGGTGGATGTCTTTTGTGGAGGGAGAAGGAAGGATAGAATTATTACACTAAGGAATAGTAAAAGAACATTAGCATTACAAGGCCCTATTCTAAGTAATTAAAGGCACATTTTTAAGCCTTTTATAGCAAGGCACAGTGATTCCACAGCTTTCAATGGGAGGCTTCAATCAATTACGCATTGATACACCTACATTACAAGAAATCACAGAAAATGTGGGGTACTTGTAACTGTTTAGGAGCCAGACAGTCAGTCTATCTTCTACAGACAGCTACATGAAAACGCAAAGCTGAATATTTTCTGAAAAAGTTAGCTAGCACACCCTCACCTTTTGCATATTGGTGTTGTAGGTAGAACGTTTACCCAAGAAGTGGGAAATCTAGATTTGTACGTATCCCTCAGCTTCCAGCTTGTGACAGAAAGCTCTGGCGTGCTCTGTAAAGGTTAGGCAAAGGTAGGGGAAAAAATGAGAGACACTCTCCTGTTTTACTAAACTGTCACTGGTTACACAGGACTAGAAGGGATATGGTGCTAGAAAAAGAAAGGGAAAGAAGGAAACTAGGAGTGAAGTGAACTAGGGTTCCTGATCCTGAGCTGGGGAATGTGCATATATGTTATAGTTGATGAGTAAAAACGAATAAATAGTCCAGGGATCAGAACCTAATCGCTCCCTACCACTAAGCACACGTCGTAACACACAACCAGCTGAAGCTATATCTTCCAGAGGCTGTACCAAATCCAGTCTTGATTTGAGTAACAAAAATACAAACAATCTGACACAATCCTTAATGTTTTGTTATGACAGTTAATCATAATCACTAATACAATGTGTAACATTTTTCATTTGAATTGAATCTGGTTTTAATTTTCAGCTACTAGCTTTTATTGTGGCCTTCCCCACCAGAGTGAAGAGGCCTTCCGTCTCCAGCCGCACGAGAAGATCTCCTTGTGGAGATGTGGTGGTTCTAAGCATCCCATGCATCTCTTCTTGGTACTCCAGGGAGTCTCAAATGCCAGTAGGCGCTGACATTTAGGCACCCTAAATCATGAGTAGTGTTAAAGGATCTTAGGGTTATCGCTACATATTGACACCTAAATTCAGGCATCCTACTTGATGGGCTGAACCTCACTCTAAGTGTCTCTCTTGAACGACTTTTCCCAACTTGCTAATTATTTGTGTGGGAGGCGGTTTATAAGGTTCACAATTATCAATGCTCTTTTAAAAAGGAGCATCAGAAAGAAGTGAAGGTAATAATCCAGTTTCAGTCCTACTAAAGTTGCATGAATAGGTAATTGATATCACTTCAGTGATTTCTCTCTTGACACGTTCACAAACTGTATTAACTTTGGAGGATCTTATGTTGAGTTTCTTTCTCACCATATCTCACCATAACACCAAGATTTTTTTCAAGAGTCGCATATTTCTGGATTGTAATTTCTATTCAGTAAGTATGATTTGCTATTCTGCCATTAAGTGTGTAATATGCACTCTCACATATACCCAATTTATGGGTTTTTTTTATATTTATGGTTTTTTATATTTATGTTTTTTTAAATATTTTAGGTTTTTTTTATCTGAATATGTGAGAGAAAGCAGAACTGAGTTGTTTGGCATGGCTTATCATGTGGTACTGCATATTTGCCTTGTCCCCACAGCTTCATGCGGAGTTAACTGATGCAGGAGCAGCAAACATCTGTTTGCACCCTCAGTGAAATTTTGGAGAATCCTGAAAAAAGCAGGTTATCACAGAAAACAGATTTTATCTCAGTCTCAGAGGTGATAGAAGGAAGAAGACTTCACTAAAGACAGAAAGAGGCTAGTGTGGGGTTTGTTGCAACTCAGGGGACCACTGAAAATTGCTGGAAATTAGAACAAGCTTGGAGGAAGGTAGCAGCCTTACCAGGACATAGAGCATAGAGAAGATTTATTTGATCTATTTTACCCAACAGATCTGAGTTTTCTCTGATTAAGGAGCAACCCTGGCCAAGTTTTGTTTGTAGACTACTGAACCCTAGCTTTAGAAACTGGAGCCAGCAATATCTTCAAAGAAAAGCAGCACAATTTCACGTGATAGCTCTGGCTGAGCTGGAGACCTATTGCATTCAGTGACTGAGAATATTTGGTCCCTTTATCCCTCCTTCTTCAGCATACTGCAAAAACTGTCATTCGTAGGCTGTGTTGTTTTTTTTTTATTCAGACTGATGATCTTTTACAAATGTCAAACTGCAGTTAGGCTCATACCAAACCCTCTGGATCCATGTAGAAACATTGCAATCTGATGCTAATCACCCATCAAAATCATTTTTTGATTGCTCTCATTTGTGTAATTTCCTTTTTCCACATTTGTTATATTTTCTGTTGAGCTAGATATGCTTTTAACCAAAAGTACCCTCTTTCTTGTTACTGCAGAACTTACTTGACTGAAAAGAAAGAAAGAGAAAACAACTTTGCATCTGTGCACAAGTACTAGTCAGATGTGGCAAGAGAAATGCTCTGATGCTCTGGAACTATTTGGTCCTGGCTCACCTCAGACCTGCAGAGAAGTAGTTCTTATAAAGCAAGCATGTATATTGGTAACAGGATGGGAAAATCTTACTATCCAGTAACAACCAACTGTATCTTCGTATGTTGTTATATTTATGTTTACTAAAGAAATATTTCTGTGTATTCATGTCAGCCATGTTTGAATTATGGATAAATAAGTTAAGCTCCTTTTAGTCGTACAAATAACTAGTTCATCTTAAGAAAAATTGTGTGCATTCTCACTGTTTTTATAACCAACTGTTTACTAATTTAGGATGGCCATTTATTCCTCTCCCAATCAAGGAATGCCAATAGTATTTTTTTAAGTGTCATGATACAAATCAATTAGCAAACTTATGTCAGATTGTCAGTATGTGTAATTCAGGCCAATGAAATGATTTTCCCCTGTGTCCATCCAGGTTCTCACCAGCAAAGCGTCACCTACTAATACCTCCATTACTTAAAAAGTAAATAATGTGAAAACATGTGTTAAAATAGAATAAAAATATTATCTGTAAAACTTTGTAAACGGTTAGGCTAACTATAAAAACAAATAGGTGGGAAAAAATACTGTAAGGTATCCAATATGAGGAATATCTACAGGGAGAGGGAGGAGGCAAGGAAGAAAAGATGAAGATAAGAGAGACAACATAGCTATTCCTCAAAGACCAGGATGGAAAAGCAGTGCTAAACAACAAAAAAACTGAAAAGTGGGTACAGCAAATAGTCAAGATTTCCCACTTACAGCTTCCCGCTTTAATTTATTTGCTGATTTTTATCGTTGGCAGGGGAGCTTAGCAGTACTCCCTGCCA